CACGACCAACCGAGTAGAAAAGATCCATATTTATGCTATTCCAAAGAAAGGTGATCAAACCGAATGTGGAAATTATCGAACAATGTCATGAATATCACACACAAGTAAAATTTTGCTGAAGATCATTCAAAAGTGGCTGCAGCAGTATATTGACAGGGAACTGCCAGAAATTCAAGCCAGCTTCAGAAGAGGACATGGAACCAGAGATATCATTGCTGACGTCAGATGGATCCTGGCAGAAAGCAAAGAATACCAGAAAGATGTTTACCTGTGTTTTATTGACTATGCAAAGGCATTGGACTGTGTGGATCATAACAAATTATGGGCAACATTGCAAAGAATGGGAATTCCAGAACACTTAATTGTGCTCATGAGAAACCTGTACATAGATCAAGAAGCAGTCGTTCAAACAGAACAAGGGGATACTGCATGGTTTAAAGCTAGGAAAGGTGTGCGTCAGGGTTGTATCCTTTCATCATATTTATTCGAGTGGTATGCTGAGCACATAATATGAGAAGCTTGACTATATGAGAAGAATGGGGCATCAAGATTGGAGGAAGACTCATTAACAACCTGCAATACGCAGACGACACAACCTTGCTTGCTGAAAGTGTAGAGGACTTGAAGCACTTACTAATGAAGATCAAGACTACAGCCTTCAGTATGGATCACACCTCAACATAAAGAAAACAGAAATCCTCAGGACTGGACCAACAAGCAACATCATGATAAATGGAGGAAAGACTGAAGTTGTCATGGATTTCATTTTATTTGTATCCACAATCAACGTCCATGGAAGCAGCAGTCAAGAAGTCAAACAACGCATTGCACTGGCAAATCAGCTGCAAAAAACCTCTTTAAAGTGTTAAAAAGCAAAGATGTCACCTTGAAGACTAAAGCATGCCTGACCTAAGCCATGGTGTTCTCAATCAACTCATATGCATGTGAAAGCTGGACAATCAATAAGGAAGACTGAAGAAGAATTGATGCCTTTGAAATACAGTGTTGGCAAAGAATATTGAATATACCATAGACTTCCAAAAGAATCTGGAATCTGTATTGGAAGAAGTACAGCCAGAATGCTCCTTAGAAGCAAGGGTGGAGAGACTTCGTCTTACAAACTTTGGACACGTTATCAGGAGGGATCAGTCCCTGGAGAAGGACATCATGCTTGGTAAAGTAGAGGGTCAGTGAAAAAGAAGAAGATCCTCAATGAGATGGAATGACACAGTGGCTGCAACAATGGGCTCAAGCATATCAGCGATTGTGATGATGGTGCAGGACCAGGCAGTGTTTTGTTCTGTTGGACACAGGGTTGCTATCAGTCAGAACTGACTAGATGGCACCTAACAACAACAACAACACAGCATTTTGACCACCACCCATCTGTCGGTTTGTACTGTGGTGAATTGTGTGTTGTTATGATGCTGGAAGGAGCTCTGGTGATGCAGTGGTTAATGGACTCAACTGCTAACCAAAAGATTCGTGGTTCCAACCTACCAGCTGCTCCATGGGAGAAAGATGTGACAGTCTGCTTTTGTAAAGATTTACAGCCTTGGAAACCCTATGGGCCAGTTCTACTCTGTCCTATAGTGTCGTTATGAGTCAGAATTGATTTGCCAGCAGTAGGTTTGGTTTTTTTGGTTTATGATTCTGGAAGCTGTGCCACCAGTATTTCAAGTACCAGCACAGTCACCCATGGTGGACAGTTTCATTGGAGCTTCCAGACTAAGATAGAAAAGTGGTTGGAAGGCACCACAAAAGCCACAACAATAGGCTCAAACATACCAACAATTATGAAGATAGCTGGGGACTAAGTTTCATTCTTTAGTACATGGGATCGTCATGAGTAGGAGCCTACTAGTTGGCAACTAACAACAACAACATTTTGGGGAGCAATTTGACAGCAGGTATCAAAATCTTAAATACACTAACCCTTTAACTCATCAATTCTACTTCTAAGTTTCTGTCCTAGAAAACATTCATATACATGGCCAGAAAGGTATATTGTAGCATGTTCACTATTTCAGTGTTTGTAAAAGAAAAAATAAAGTGAAAATGACTGTACCTATTATTATTGCAAGTTACAGAAAACCCAATTCAAACTGGCTTAAGCAAAAAAAAAAAAAAAAAAGAAACCAAAAATGTTGGCTTACATGACTGAAGAGTCCACAGATGAGGCTTGGGTTGGATGGTTGGAATTCCTATCATGGCTATCAGTGCCCCCAGCAGATGCAGAATCACGTCTTCATAATTGTTCGTGGGCGTGCGTGATGCGTGTGTGCCTGCCTGCATGTGTGTGTTTGTGTGTGTACGTATATGTCTTCCCATTTTAAAATAGAATAAAACCAAACTGTATTTCATGACCTCCAAGGATCTTCATGATCCGCTCCCCCGCCCCCCAGTCTCTACAAATTCATCTCACTCTGCTCTCTCCCTTGTTTCTCCAGCTACACTGGCCTCTCTTTTATTCTTTAAACATGCTGAACCCTTCCCTGCCCCAAAGCCAGGTTGCCCCTGTCCGGAAAGATCTCCCCCAGAGCTGTACAAGGCCGGCTCCTCTCAGTTGTCAGTTCAATTTAGATGTTCATTCCCTTGAGGCCTTCTTTTGGGACCCTAAAGAAAGTGCACCGGTCCCTCCCCTACTCATTTTCTTCATCGCACTTATTATAAACTGTACTTTTGGTTTTCTTATTTGCAGTCTGGCTTCCTAATTAGAACGTAAACTCCGTGAGACCTTATTTATATAGTTTACTGATGCAGCCCCAGAGATTGTCTCCCATCCCAGACTGTGAGCTCCAAGGGGAAGAATACCTGACCTATCCCCACTTAACTACGTATGCGATTTAACTAAATCAGAGAGCTCTTGTTAGTAATAAGTTTGAAATATTGGATAAATAGTATGCAGACAAATACTGGACATTAGTAAAGCAGAAAGCGTAAATCTGAAACAGCTGAGTGCTCCCGTAAAGCTAATGATCTAAGTCTTTAAGGAATACCGGATGGTGGGGTAGATAAAAAGCGTCAAGAGGAAGCCTAAAGGTGAGCGTAGAACGGCCGAACTCTTCAGTCTGGTTGTTACTAGGTGCCAGTGGAGCCGATTCGAACTCATAGCTACCTTGTGTGACAGAGTGTAACTGCCCCATTGGGTCTTCTAGCAACGATTGTGATAATGGCGCAGGACCGGGCAGTGTTTCCTTCTGTGGTATACAGGGTCGCTATGAGTCGAACCGACTCCACGGCACCTAACACCACCACCAATAACAAATTTTTACGGGGCGCAGAGCCACTATACGGTTAGCAGCCCAGCGCTTAACCATTGCGCCACTTCTGTCTGAATTCTGGCTTATTAGCTGAGCCTCCATAACGCAGGTGGCAAGTGGCCAGGTGAGTCCGGCGTCTGCTCTCCTACACCGCGATCTCCCTCCCAGGCAGAAGGCATGCATAGCCAGCCCCTTTGCCCTTCAGTGACATCTGTAGCTCACTCTCCCCATAGCGCCCCACCTGCAAGTGAAAAATAATCTTTCAGTGGAACGGCAGACAGCAGTGAAGAGACTGGTAGGCTAGCGGGGCGGAGCTAGCTCCGCGCATGCTCTGTGCGGGCGGAAAGAACCATCAGGTACGCCTGCGCGCTGGGTCTGCCCAGTTAGCCTCCGCCTCCGGGATTCCGGACCTGGGGATCCCGGCGGGATGGTGCCGCAGTGCAGGGTAAGGATGGGGCGCTTGCGGGCGGACCTGGGCGCGGAGTTCATCCGGACATGTCTGCCCCTTCCATCCACAACCCCCGCGGCTGGTTCAGCCGTACCCCCGTTTCGCTTCTCCCCTCTTCGTGGCCGGGGGTCGCGATCGCCACGGTCGTGGTGCCCGTTACGGGTTTAGGAGACTTTGGCCCGGCCGCCCTAGCAAAGGTTAACTCCATTTGTGAAGTCTTGGTGACCGGGTCACTGCGTCGAGAACAGGCCCATTTCTAAGGGTGCCCTCGACCTTTTGGCCCCGTTTCTCAGCTTATTCATTCTGATGAAGATACTTTTTTAATTAAAAAGAAATACGCTTAGTTAAGGATTCATACGAATCCTTATGAAACACAATCATGTATGCATTTGCAAACCCTTATTTGCAAACCTCTGATTCTTTCGTAGATAATAATTTGCACTGAGTATTTTACTTGGTCAGCTTCTTAGATTCAAAGCTGATTGCTTAGGTTTGTTCTAGGAAATACCAGTTTATCCTGTATTTCAAACCCATCTGCTTTTATAAATGCCGGGTTTCGTATGTTGCATGACTTATTCCGCAGCAGCTGGGTCCAGTGTAACGTAGACTGGAATCAAAGGTCATTTGACAACCGTGAAAAACAAATCTTTCACTTTTATGGTCATTTATTTCTAATTCATCTCTTGACTTAAATATTTGCTCTCTTTTTTAAATCTTCCAGGTCTGAAGTGTTTATGAAAGGTGCTATAATTTTATGTAAATTAAAGACAAACTTAACATGCTTTTTAAGAAGATATACTTAGGGTTTTAATTATGATACAAAACGTTTGTAACACCAAAAAGGCATCCAGAAATACTCTCAATTGTGTTTAAAACAGAAAAACATATTCAAAATTTGAGCTTGTAGATGTACCGGAAGCTCCGTGCGGAGCTTTCCTGGTGGCTCAATGATTAAGTGCTCGCTGTTAACCAAAAAGTCAGAGGTTCCAACCCGCCAGTGGCTCCAAGCGAGAAAAAACCTGGCAATCTGCTCTTGTAAATATTACCCAGCCGAGGAAACCCTATGGGCAGCTCTCCTTTGTCCTGTAGGGTCGCTGTGAGTTGGAATCTACTCGACCACATGCAACAACAGATACACTGATGTTTTTAATGGGCTATTTAATTTTCTTTAATGTAAACTTTGCTTTTGATTAAAATAATACATTTGGAAAACAAGAAAACTTCTTATTGTGGGCAGTCAGAAAATGATTGTAAGTTGTTACTGTAAAAGCATTTTTCTCTCCTTTCAGGTTGAAGTGTTGTATTTTGCAAAAAGTGCTGAAATAACAGGAGTTCGTTCAGAGACCATTTCTGTGCCACAACAAATAAAAGCATTGCAGCTGTGGAAGGAGATAGAAAGTCGACATCCTGGGTAGTTAAAAATTTGTAGAATGCATATGACTAACACTTTTTAATAGTTTTTAAAATATGTAAATTATCAAAGAAAAAAAAAAGATTGGTTTTGATTTCCATTCCTAATGTCAAAAAGGGTTATTAGTTGCATTTTTTTTTAAGCTACAACTGAAAACCTAGATTCTAGTATATAGAAATGCAGAATTCATTAAAGAAGGTTAAAATTATTTTACTAAAAAAGCACAGTGGGCTGGGTTACTTCCAGAGGGACATGATTACATCTGCTTTTATAATTTACAAAATTCTGAAGAAGGTAGAGTCTCTGTTTATATAACAGTAAATGAAATTGTTACAAATTCTGTTAAAAATGCGTGCATTAGATTTTTTTGTGTCACTTCCTCTTCCAGAGAACTCAAAATAGAAATTGCTGTGTTTTTAAAAAGATGAAAGAGAACAAACTGTAGATGCTGCTGAATTGGAGTTTTTGCAATATCTGAGTTTTTTCTGATTCTTGAAAATCTATAATTTTAATGCTGTCATTCCTGCCTCAAGATGTTTTTGGAACAAAGTTTAAAAGTGACTTTTTGGGGGTGTTCCAGGAATATTAATAGTGTCACTTAAATCTCTATAGATGTTTAACCTGGAAGTACTGGGACTGTGTGAAAGATACTCCACAACTGCATGCTCAAAAGGAAAACACCTCTTCTTGACCTCCTATTTTTGAATTTGCTCATAAAGTGTCTTGATAATTAAGCATGATAGGGCCTCCATTCTACTTTACCTCTAACCTTTTACCTGCAGGACACACAGCATCCAATAAAATATCATTAGCAGTTTAATGTGTCCATCAGTGGATATGTCCTTTCGCTATAGAACTTGAGAAGTTAGTTAAGTTTGCAGGTGGTATTCACAGGTCAACATTTATTTAATATTTTAAATTTCAACTGAAGAGATTTGAGATGTGTCATGGTATTGATACTTCAAATCATACCTTTTTTCCCATCAGATTGGCTGATGTCAGAAATCAGGTGATATTTGCTGTTCGTCAAGAGTATGTCGAGCTTGGAGATCAACTCCTCCTGCTTCAGTCAGGAGACGAAATTGCCATTATCCCCCCCATTAGTGGAGGGTAGTGCTTTTGAGCCACTTGGGTACGTGAGATTTGTTTTTCTTAACCAGTATTGTGGAGAATGATAATAACATATATGATTTGCTGTAACTGTATGCTATTTGTTAAATCTGTCTGTACCAATTCTATTGGTGCAACAACTCTTTATTGGTGCAGTCTTATGGATACCTACCTACCATCTCTGCATCAACTCTATTGTAAGCAATTTAATTTAATGTCAGTTTGAGATGTTCATTTAACATGGTTTCTTGAAACCTTATTATGTGCCAGGCACAGTGCTGGGCTCTGGAGTATTAATAGCTCCATTTTGCAGATGGGAAAATAGAAATTCAGAGAAGTGAAAAAATTTGTATATGATCATACAGGTAATAAGTGGCAGAACCAGCATTTGAACTGAGATTATTATATTCCCTCTGTGCTGTTTTGGAGTCCGTTAGTGGTACAAACAGTTCAGTGCTTGACCAGTAGCCGAAAGGCGGGCAGTTTGAACCCACCTAGAGGTGCCTTCAAAGACGGACTTGACAGTTTGCTTCTGAAGGGTCACAATGTTGAAAACTCTATGGAGCAGGACTCTGCACACTTGGAGTCACTATGAGTCGGAATCACCTTGATGGCAGCTAACAACAGCAACAACATGTGCTTTTTCACAAATGTTTACTAATACTGAATAATAGCTCTCCTGGGCGCAGAGAAATGTAGGAAAATTGCACACCTGTAAAGTCAAAAGACTGCTATGCATAAAAAGAAAGCTTATCATTTCCCAAGTATAAAGGAACACTTTTTTTTATTATAGCTGAGTTGCAGGTGGCTCTGTGACCCATGTCATCTTTCCAAACAGTCCAGATTTGAGTAGGCTGATGTGTAAAAACATTCCTTGGTATAGTGTGGAGAGAGCATGTTTTCTTAAGTATACACAGACAGAATAAGGCTTAATTTATTGTCAGCTGAAGAATAAATAATGTAAAAATTAACCATCATGCCTGATTAAAAACTCTTGTTAAGTTAGGAGTGAAAGAAAGCTTTCTTAATTTGATGGGCTTTTTATCCAAAATCAGTAGTGAATATTATACTTAATTGCAAAATGCTAGTTTTCCTAAGAAAGGAACAAGCCACAGAAGTTGGAAGCCTGTGTTTTTTTTTTCCACTCATTTATGTATTTTTTTTCCCCACTTTCCTGGCGAATACCACAAAAAATGAAGAATAAATATTGCAAAGCATATTGTTCAATATGTTGACACTCAAAGATTGAAAGGAAGAGAATTTCAGGTAGAGGGAAGTGGTTTGAGCAAAAGCCTGAAGCAGGAAGTACTCCTGTGTTTGGTTTATAGGAAGCTGACTGATGAGGCTAAATCATGGAGTATCTAAACAGGATAAAACTGGGATAACACTTTTTTTTTTTTTTGAGAGTCCTGACTTTAGTTATTCTATTAACTTACAAACATTTTCTATTAAAAAAAAAAAACCTTGAAGTAGCAATATTTTGCCATATTTTAGTCTCTAAATCTTTCTCAGGCCTACTATCTAGAATTAATAGAAGAGTTTCTTTTTAGGTATGTGTCTCGATTTTATCTGGGAACTGTGGTCACCATATCACCACCATGATTTTAGGGGATTCTAAAATACAGTTTTTCAGAATTTGGAATTTATTCAGAAAATAATGGATTGCACTTAAAGAGGAATGTGTGCCTGATGATTAGAGCTATTCTTTGGCCAGATTAAAAGATTACTTCGCAACATTTTGTATTATTTGAATTGTGTTTGACAGGGTTTGTATTACATTGTTTTAGAATCTACCAGTTAGGTTATAAAAGTCAGTGTCCTTGTAGAATTAGAAACTGTGGGGACTCGGTCAGGTTTGACGCTCCCAGACCATATATGGCTTACCTGTGTCTTATTGGAGAGCCCTGGAGGTGCAGCGGTTAAGCGCTCAGCTGCTAACCAAAAGGTTGGTGGTTCGAACCCACCAGCCGATCCATGGGAGAAAGATGTGGCGGTTTGCATCCATAAAGATTACACCCTTGGAAACCCTATGGGGCAGTTCTACTCCATCCTGTAGGGTCACTGTCAGTCGCAATTGACTCGACCGCAATGGGTTTCGTTTTTTTTTTTTTTATGTCTTATTGAAAGAGAAAGAGGTAGAAGAAACTCAGGTGGCATGGTGGCATGTATAGATGCTGGTGACTGGAATCCAGTGGTGTATGAGTAATCCTGGTTTTCTGTAATTGGAAGAAAATAGGGAAAAGAGCCTTGGACTTAGGAAGAATCCTTAGTTGCAATTTCAGCACCTTTGAGTGAGTCCTTAACTTCACTGAGTCTCCATCTCTCATCTTTCAATTGGAATAAAACCTCACAGGATTTATAATTGTACCCAGCCTCCTCCTCATGGCCTGCAAGGTCCTGCCTACCTGTCCAGCCTCAGCCCATCCTATTCATTCTCTCCCTTGCTCCGTGGGCTCCAGGCCTCCTGATAGGTTCTGGAGCACACCATGCTGTTTCCTGTCACAGAGCCTTTGCATTTGCCTCCCCTCTGCCTCTGCCTTGGGTCCTTTCCCCTGCTTCTTTACATGGCTGGCTGGCTGGCTGGCTTTCTTATTTTTTAGGCCTCAACTTTAAATGTTCCCTTTTTGTTCACCCATCACCCTTACCTGTTCCCAAAGTATACCATCACCCTTAACTTCTGTGTCCCTTCAACATTGATGATGAACGTAATTACTGCCACTGAACTGTACATGTAAAGACTGTTGAAATGCCAAAGGTTTTGTTACCTATATATTTACCACAGTAAGTAATAATAATAATAATGTTACCTCTTGAGAGAGACCTTCCTTGATCCCCTTATCTCATATAGCCCCTCCCCTAGCCCTCATCCTGTCTCACAGAACTCTGTTTATTTCACAAGTCAGCCCTGTTTGTAGTTATTTTATAGTTGATTGCTTTGTTTCTCCAATTAGAATCCTCCCTCTGTGTCTTTTTTTTCCCAGGTCTATATCCAGTGCCAGGCATCAGGCTCTGGCCTTGAGTGAGTGGTACTAAATATTTGATGCACTAATTGAGAAAATGTGTGGGAAAAGACTTTGCACAACACCTGGCAAATAGATGTGTGGTTCGTTCCCTTATTTCCTCAGTTCTGCAGTCAGAGTTGTGCCGGGTTGTGCAATGAACCCAGTTCCTGTAGAGTAGCCATCCCCTCTGCATTGGTTAACTTCTCCTGTTTTCTTGGGATGAAGGAAAAGGGAGTCGTGGATGTGGTGCTTGGTAAGATAGTGGTTAGAGGTGATGTGTTTATAGTTGAAGGTGGCAGTATCTAAACTATATGGTGGCAGATATAAGTGGCAATTTTAGAATTTGGAATGAATTGGCATATGAGATGGATTGCATTTTAAGATGATCGTGTTAATGGTGAATTTCTTATCATGCATAATTCAGTAGGAACATTTGTATGTATTTTGAGCTTTACTAAAATTTTACATGTGTTTATTTTTATTATTCAGATCTAACACAGCCAGTGTAGAAAAAAAAATAAAATGAAAACTAGTCTCTAAGTTGGGTGTTTTGCTCCTAATACCAGTGTTAAGGTTTATTAATATCTTGTTTCTAGGCAAGATATGAATGCAGTTGAAGAGAAGGCTAAAGATATAATAAAATTCACTGCTGAGAAGCTTTCAATTGATGAAGTTTCACAGTTAGTGACTTCTCCACTCTGTGGTGCCATATCCCTGTTTGTAGGTGAGTTGTAATTTTCACGGCATTTGTTGACTGAGCAAAACCATGGAAATTAGCTAATGTTTTCCATATTCAGTGTTAATATTCATTAATATTAATATTCAGCATATTTTAAGATACTGAGCAATAAACCAAGAAAATTCATGGTGGTGGTTAAAACTTGTTTTGGTTCTTGTTTTACTTGTTTTAGTAATCTTCAGATTAACCTGTATTAAATTACAAAGCATAAAGAAGTAAGCTAAAAGTCATTGTTAGGAGAGAGAACATATATTTTTGAAATATTGAGGGAAAAAATGCGCTTGATGATAATCCTGGGAACATAAATGTTTTCATTTTAAGTATCCAATGTTAACTGTTCATCGGAAAAAGAACATGTCATGGTTTGTCATCGGAGCATTTTCAGTAAGCTTGCTCAATCCTTGATCTTCTCTGTGTTAACTGTTGTCTTGTTTTCATAATCAAGGTTTTTTTCTTAGAAAATTACAAAGTACTATCTAGACGAAATTGGTTTGTTGTCTATTTTACTACTCAAAAATAATCCTTTTTATTCTATTAATGTTCTATTTATGTTGTAGGAAGAAACCTTGTTTTAATTATTATTATATGTGTATGTGTGTGTGTGGTTTTTTTTTTTTTTTGTTTTTTTTTTATTTAGGGACTACGAGAAATAACTTTGAAGAGAAAAAAGTCATTAGCTTGGAATATGAAGCATATCTACCAATGGCAGAAAATGAAGTCAGGAAAATTTGTAGTGATATTCGGCAGAAATGGCCAGTCAAGCACATAGCAGTATTCCATAGACTTGGGTATGTTTTCCTTTATCAGTGTTAATGTTAGCTATAGGTGTTTTCGCGTTTGTACTAATTCTGATTCTGGAATCTTTCATAGGGATTCTGTATTACCAAGAGAGAGAGGTTTGTGTATTATTTCTGGAGGCCAGTAGAGCTACCCGACCAGTGCTTTCAAAGGCAGCTTGTGTTGTAACTTCGGGAGCTCTTGTTGCCTCTGTGTGGTATAACAGGAACAAGTGCAAATGTGAAAGTCTTCTAGACCCTGGGCCTAAAGGCCTGTGCCGGTGTGTGCTAAAGTCCTTGAGGCCTGTTCAGAATTGTTCTGTGGTCTGGACTCAGTTTACATGATAGTCCTCTAGAGGTTCTTTTTTGATGTAAATGCTTTTGAAGGCCGTTAAATTAGTTTGCCTACTGCACCACCAAGAAGAGTAGAGTTCTAGGCCTTAAGAAGAAACCAGTAATTGAGACTACATCTATCATATTTTATTAGCTATTGTTTTGTTTTTAACAATTATAATTTTATTAATAGTCATTAATTTTATCAGCAATTAATATTATCAACCCTATTCCTTCCTTTTTATTACTATTTTAATGTTTTAAATTCTTCGTTATACTCATGGTGCTACAACTTTGTATTTCTGGGTATTACCTGGCACTGTGCCTTGTTTGTTAGAGTCAGATGTTTCTTGAATCAGTGAGCGGTCCTTTTCTTCTTGGTGCCCACCATACAGGTTTAGTGGGCGAGTGCTAACACACTAACCACAACGTTGGCATTCACTCGCTGAATGCAACTGGGAAGAATCACTAAACTAGATCTTCAAATAAAACAGAACTATAGTATAGTTCTAGGAGCGCTTACTGTAGTTTATTTTCTTGTGTCTAGCAGATTCTTTACACGTAGATTCAGAGTTGATGGTAAGTTGTTTTCTTCATCTTGTTAAAGCTTGGTCCCGGTGTCAGAAGCCAGCATAATCATTGCTGTGTCCTCAGCCCATAGGGCTGCATCCCTGGAAGCTGTGAGCTATGCCATTGATACTTTAAAAGCCAAGGTGCCTATATGGAAAAAGGTAAGTTAAGAACATATCTAATTTTGCCACTTGGACATGGTTTTTCTCAGGGATTATTAGAGAAAGGATTCAGAGTAAAAGTACATGCAGTTTGTATTCATGCCCCTTCGCTGACTTTATGGAAACTTGTTTTCTTCATCTGTGAAATAAGGCTTTTAAGTAATATCTCCTTTCCAACGTTTGTTAAGCATGAAGAACAACTGCTGCAAATAGTGTATGGCACAGAGTAAGCCTCCACAAGTGGTAGGAATTAAGATTTCTACTCTGAACTGTACCAGTGGTTCTATATGAAGTCCTTTCCCTTGAGTTCTAATCTTCCCTTTGTTGTTGTTGTTAGGTGCCATCAAGTTGGTTCTGACTCATAGCTACCTTATAGGACAGAGTAGAAACTGCCCCATAGGGTTTCCAAGGAGTGCCTGGTGGATTTGAACTGCTGATCTTTTGGTTAACAGTCGAACTCTTAACCATTACGCCACCAGGTTGGCAGTTTGAACCCACCAGCAGCTCCTTGGAAACCCTATGGGGCAGTTCCACTCTGTCCTATAGGGTTGCTATGCATTGGAATTGACTCGACAGCAATGATTTTTTTTTTTTTTAATTTAGGCAATGGCTAAAATAGAGATTCCTTGAGGCAAAGGACCCTTCTCCTAGAGCTCCTTTTTAGGAAAAAAAAAAAGGAGGGGAGGGATATTTCTTCCTCTGAGAAAATGCATAGTGAGTAGATTTTAAGGCATAAATAGGAAATTATAGCTTGTTTTCTGTCAATAAATAAAACCAATCAATAAGGTAAAAATTCTTTGGTTAAATAGAGAATTCTAAGGGAATGAAAAGGCCTGCTCCCTACTTTCTACCCTGCTGTAGCTACGTTAACAGTGGAATTGCTCTATATTTGCAAACGTGTATAATTACACTTAAGAGTCTAGAATTGCCCATTGCAGAGTGGCTTATAGCAGAGCTGAGGTATTAATTAACTCCTTGGTAGATTAGAAGGCCAGAGCAGAGGACTAAGGCTTTTCAAGGATGAGTCTCCCTTCCTTCCTAGGAGCCTGCTGTCTCAGTCAGTGGTAGGGATGAGCAAACTAGGCTCTGAACCAGGGCCTTTGAAATTTAGTGACCATACTTTCTAAATAAAAATTGAGACCCATTGTGATACAGATCTACTTTCGGTTGGAGGATAGGATCTGGGAAAAGGGCCTGTCTTAGTAAAGCTCATATATACGGCTGCTTTGTTATAAGCAATGCTGTCATAATTTTGGTAGTCCATGAGGCAGGCACCAGAGGAGGGAGAGGTAGGAAGAGTAATTCCAAAATGAGCTGCGAGACAATAGATTGCTGACAGAAATTAGATGACGGAGTAGCCTCAGAAAATAAGGGAAAGGGCAGGAGTTGGGATATGCTTCTATTTTTATGCTTTGAGGACTAGCTAGGCTTTCTGCTTGCTTTTCTATGTCTGTAGAGGATGGGGGATGTACAGGTGTTCAGAGAACAATTGCATTTGGATTCCTATCCCTGCAGAAATAGAATCTTGAGTAGAGAGTGAGAAGAGCAAGTGATATGTTCTTCTTCCTTTCCTTTCTACAAATTATCTAAATTCAAGTCTGATTCTAGTCCTAGCCTGTGCTTTGAGATCATCTGTGATAGAGGGAGGCAGGTGAGCACGTTGGTAGGGCACATACATTATAGAGCAGACCTTACCAGAGTGCAGCTCTGTTCTTTGTAAGTACTTGATTACATACTTGAACAGCTGATGGAAATAACCCTTCTGCGTTTGGAAAAGCGTATTTAGAAATGTTGAGGTAATGGGTGTGTTTGGAAAGAAAAAATAGTTCAAGACCTGTGCTGCATCCTGTCATGGTCCCAGATGTAAGGAATCATTTATTCCCTTCTGTGGTTGTGCCTTGTCATGTTATAGCTTCTTGTCTGTCTGTCTCCTCTATTGGATTGGGAGTCCTTAAGTTCAGGGAATGTGCTTATTCGTTTTTCTGCTCCCAGTGCTTTATACAAATCTTCACTGGATTGTTAAAAGAGGAGCATATTTAAATAGATGTGATATTCACTTACCTGTTGTGTTCAAATGTATTTGCATTTATTAAAGTGCTCTATTTTGAATACACGTCATGCTTCTCTTTTTTAGGAAATATATGAAGAGTCATCATCATCATGGAAAAGAAACAAAGAATGCTTTTGGGCGACCAATGATTAAATCGCTTATATTTTCAGAGCACTAAATTTTAAATTTGGTAGACTTTTATCTATGATCACATTTTGAATTTCCTTCTCAACAGTTTCGTTTACTGAAGCACAGTATCTTATTTGTCAGTAATGGGACAAAAGGGAGGAAAAAAAAAAAAGCAAAATAAATCAGTGTGTAAGATGAGGGTTTATCTAAGAACTAGAGATAGAGGAAGGGCTCTAGAGAGGAAATAGGATAATTTCAATGTGAAGAAAAATGCCTGTGGTAGACATACCATTCCATGACTAAGTTCTGATTATAATTTGGCTCCCATTGACGTGTGACCCCTCCTCACTGACTCTGTCTCAGAGAGCCTTCCTCTGTCCTTTCCCTCTTCCCCTCACACCCAGTGAGAGCATTGTTAGCCAGGATATGTGATATGAATATTGGCAGAGCTGGATGGTATAAAAATCCATTATCAGCAAGTCTCAATATTTTATATTTTTAGAACTTATATTTTTAAAGTACTAACTGAAGCAATAAACTCATGATATAAAAAATTTAAAAACAGTATTTTTCCTGTTTTTTTTTTTTCAGTGATAATACCTAAAATATTTTAGAATATGGACATTTCTAGTATTTCCCAATCTGTACTCTAACCATAAATAACTTTTTGCATTTTATTAGCTAGTAATATTGTATCAGTATGAAAGTTAGGATCAAATTTTGAAACCAGGCAAATTAGCAACAACATGGTTTATGTTCTAATGATGTTGACGTTTAAAATTTAGTCCACAACCAATTAAAAAGGAAAATCACACCACTTATTAAAGCATTTTCAGATGCTTTTGTTTTTAGTTGCTTATACAACCTCATTTGTGAAGTCTTTAATCATCAGTTTTCTGTGAGATCTTTGTCCTAAATAATATCCAGTTTCTGCTTGGTCAACCTATATGCTGTCTAGGTAGATGTGAGTATGTAAGTTCCACATAGTTCTTAAAGTAATAAAATATTGGCATAATTTTGGGCAGTTGTCATCATCACAAAACTTGCGGTTTACATATTGGGAATAAACACTACCGTCAGTCACAGATTGAGGGTTTTTTTTTGTTTTTTTCCTTGTTTCTTTCACAAATGAGAAACCTAGTAAAGACTATTTGTTACGTCTAGTGAAAACATTGTTTTTATCGAAGAAACTCACTTATTAAATAAATATTGAACACCTGTTCTGTGCCAGGCACTCACCCAGTGGTCCTTGTCCACCAAGCTTAAATACCAGTGGGATGATCCTACATCCAGTCTTTCGCTGGGACCTACAAGACAGCCACATTGACTTTAGGAATCTCCTGGTTACGTAGGACCTATTCCTTGGCCTAGGGGCCCTGGTGGCACAGTGGTTAAGCACTTGGCTGCTAACTGAAAGGTCAGAAGTTCACAACCACCAGTTGCAGTGTGGGAGAAAGATGTGGCAGTCTGCTTCTAGCCTTGGAAACTCGACTTGATGGCAGTGAGATTCCTTGGCCTGGCCTGGAGAGTCTGGGCCAGAAAGATCCCAGGAAGGCAGACAAACTCTCTACCCCCTCCCTTAAACAGTCAGGGTTGACTCTCTGGTTTCAGCCTTTGTTGTTGTCGTGTGCCACAGAGTCGATTTTGACTCAGAGTGACCCTTATGACAGAGTAGAACTGTACCTGAGAGTTTCCTAGGGCTGTAATCTTCATGGGAGCAGATCGTCAGCTCTTTCTCTTGAGAAGCCGCTGGGTGGGTTTGAGCTGCCAACCTTCCAGTTAGCAGCTGAGTGCTTAACCATTGCACCACCAGGGCTCCTGGTTTCAGCCTTGCGCTCTCTGAATCAGTGCCTTCCTTTCCTTCCCACTAAACTTTAACCTAGAGCCCTGGTGATATAGTGGTTAAGAGTTCAGCTGCTAACCAAAAGCTTGGCAGTTCAAATCCACCAACTGCTCCTTCGAAACCCTATGGGGCAGTTCTACTCTGTCCTATAGGGTCGCTATAGGGTCACTATGAGTCAGAACCAACTGGATAGCACCTAATAACAACAACGAACTTTAACCTGCCCTATTTGAGAACAGAGCTATGTGTTGGAAAGAGTTGCGTTATCTCTGAAAGCACATTACCAGAGGGTTACTGTGCCTCTGTAAATATTGCTCCCATGTTACTAATATGTTTACGTAGTTACATATGCTAATATGAGAAATTTGGATTTTAAAATTTTTCTACTGAAGTATTAAGAGGTTCTTTATTGATGATATTTGTTTTTAAAGAACGTAAAACATTCTGTAAACATGTTTTTAAAGAATTGTCGTCATTAAGTAGACTTTAAGTCTGGCACACAGACTATTATGCTTGTAAATCCCCAATACAGAGGTTAAGGAGTTAATCTGGGGTATCCCAGACATGTCCTTGAAAGTTTAAACAGGATCTTTGTTGACCCACTTCCTCAGTAAGTGGCAGAGTTAATTGGTGGTTGAGATATTAAGACAGGCATTAGCTTCACTCTGACACTTAGCCATTCTATCTCTGTAACTTGGCTGCTCAAGGGATCAGAAGCATAACATTAAAAAAAGGAAAAAAAAAAAAAATCAGCCTTTAAGCAGATTGCCTGGAAAGTTTCAAGGTCACTTTGAGGCTGTAACTATGGATGATAGCTAGGTAAGTTCACTCAAAAAGTAGAAAATTCACCTTACCTGTTTTTCAGGTATTTTTGAACTGGTAGTAAAATGAACACAATTTCATCTTTGAATGAAAGTAACAGCAAATGGCCAACAAGTTAAATATTTTGTGGACTTTTTTTGTCATTCGCATATGATGTTTAGAGTCACATTATATTTTCAATATATTGTAAGAAGTAGTGTAAAAGCCAGTAGTTTCGGTCTTGCTCTCAGATCCTTGAATGAAGCCATCGAAGAGTTAGAAAAGGACTTCTGTGTATATCCTGAACCCAGCCACTTCCTCCCTCTACTGCCACTTGCCTGGTCCCAGCCACTCCTGCATTTCTCTTAGACTACTGCAGTGGTCTGCTTGCTGATAGTCCCCCTGCAGCTGCCTTTCCCTCTCCCTGCTCCTTTCTCCAGACACAGTGATCTTAAAAGTTGAATCATTTCATACTCCTGCTGAGAACTTTCCAATAGCTAATCACATCATAGAGCTTCAAAGTCATTACCAACATGATCGGGCCTCTGCCTGCCACTCTGTTGTTCTCCCTTGCCCCAACCTCACTGCTTTGCTGTGAATGGTACCTGGTGAGTTTATTCATGCCTTAGGCCTTTACCTATCCGTCTGGAATGTTCTTCCTCCAGGTAGTCCCTTAGTCTGTTTCATCACTTTATTTCATTTTGTAACAGCCCCCTGTGTAGCCTCCCTGACTGCCCTGTTTAAAACCCAGCCGCTTCCCTTGAGTTGATTCCAACTCAGCGATTCCGTAGGACGAGGTGGAACTGCTCCATAGAGTTTCCAAGGCTGTAAATCTTTACAGTCTGCTGCATCTTTTTCCCGCAGAGCGGCTGGTGGATTTGAACTGCTGACCTTCTGGTTAGCAGTCAAGCACTTTAACCACTCTGTCACCAGGGCTCCTTAAAGGGAAGCATTTGTGGAGGTGTTGGGGATCGATTCCGGGGCTTCAGACATGAAAACGTGCTCTACCACTGAACTACACCCCAGGCAAACTAGTACTGTCCCCTTATCTGGCTTTATATTTTGTTGTGGCACTTACCACTCTCTACCTGATGTAATACATTTCTTTATCTTGTTTATCTCAACTAGACTGTACACTTGGTGACGTTGAAGACTTTGTCTCTGCACTCTCCAGAGTGCCTAGACCAGCACATGAGCTCACAGTATGCACTAATCAATGAATATCAGTACTGTTTGTGTTAAGTATTGCATCCCAAATTAAACACAGCTGGCATATTGTGTAGTTGCAGGACTTACGGATGAGCAAAAGTGTCTGCCTAAAAGAACGAGTATATGGTGCAACTTTTTTCCACTTCGTTCCCCACTCCCATACCATGACATATGGTTACTGGGTAGTAAGTTGAGGACCTCTCAGGGGGTAATGGCTTGTGTGATGTAGTTAGGTAGAGCATGCAGCAGAGGGTGGTAGAGTGAGGGTTATGGTAAGGCTATAGTAAGAGCAACTTGCTTCCATCTTTAGTCTGTTACTTTTATTTTGCATAGAACCAAACAGTTCAGTTTATTAGACATTTCCTTTAAAGTAAATTTTATCAGAATGGTCCTTAAGTGAAAATTAGGCTCTGATTTTGTATAAGATGATTTCCAATCTTTAATTGACATCTTAGTTTTAAAAATGCTGTAATTTTTAAAAGGTGATTTAGAGTAAAAGGAATTGCTTTTTTTTTTAAGTAAGTAAATATAAAATTATTTTCCAGTTATTTGTATGGGGCAGAATGGTGGCTTTACTATAGATTTAGTACAAGTCTAGCAGCATTTCCACAACAGCTCTGTTGGGGGGGAGAGAGGAAGCTAATGTTTCTTTTCTCTTAAGCCTTGTTTTGATGTAAACTACATAACAAACACACATTGCATAGTGGTAGTTGTACAGTAGGCTGCCATTATGAAATGGTTCAGCACAATTGTGATGGGCAGGAAGGCAGGTGCAAGATCACCTGATGTGCGCCTGGTGGACGATTGTTCATTGTGGTGTTCGCAGGCAGCACTTACCTCCCAGCCTTTGCAGAAAGTGTGCCGTCGATAGAGTGATGGCCAGTCTGTGAGCCCTGCATGCCCCTTGTCTTATAATTTCAGCATATTCACGACTCTTAATCCTTAAAGGGAAAATACTTAATGCCCCCTGCTTACTGAGATGACTATGATTTTGCATTCTTGCGGCAGTTTGGCTGGTTTCTTTTTTCTCTCTATTCCAAGCATGTATTTTATTTCAAGAGGTAGGTTCTGCTTCTCAAACTTTAACCTGATATCAATCATCTGGGAAATTTGTTAAACTTTTTGATTCAGAGTCAGTAGCTGCGGGATGGCACTTGAGATCTGCATTTTGTAACAGTTTCCCTGGTGAAGCAGCAAGGCCTATCTGTGGACCGCACTTCAAGTAGCAAGGGTTTACACCAAGTCCCTAAATTTTGAAGGCAGTTTAAGGCTCCTACAAAACGTCCTTGTGATCACTGCTGAAATGTAAGAGACTACAC